TGTAATATTATTTGAGTCACCGACGTAGAATTAAAGCTTGCAGTTCGCAGCAATATCGTACGAGAAATGATATCTCAATTCCATGTATCATTTAGCACTACGCTGTGGCCATATGGTTGGAGCCAAGTACGGTGTTGAATGGATTAAGTGGCCGGCAGTCAAAAATTATTTGGCCACATTTTCATAGATGTTCTTTTGAACTTCTTGAGGTCATCAAAGTTAAGTGATGTCGAGGGATTCCTGAAACTATGTTTATTTCTTGAGTTTACGAAATGTGCGACCTTGGATATCCTTAATTTATTTAGTTCGCTTGAGATATATATAACGCGAGTTAAGGCCACAAACATGATATTCAATGGCTCTGCCCAATGTTATGTAACAAGAAGTTTAAGTTACTTCACGAGATAAACTATTTTTACCTAGTTTCGCGATGTTTCTAACTCAATAATATTTTTTTTTGGCTAAAGAATTCAAGTGGCTTATCACCTCCAAGCATGGCGAGCGAACAAGCGACTCCTCCTTTTTTGTTCACTTAATGTCTGTCACAAAATATTTTTGTCTAGTTCAAAAATTTCTGACTTCCCCTAGAAACTAATTTGGAACGAAAGGAAAATAGCCAAATAGTTTCGGTACATTTTTTCAAGCGTTTGGCTACAATACAAACGATCTTTTGAATTTTTTCTATTTTAGATTGAAGAAAACCTATTTTTGTGTACAATACTGTGATCGGTCGGCTGATACGTTGATAATCGTTTCATGTCAGCAATGGACTTAAGTAAAATACCGGAAATTGTTGCTTTGAACATTGAAAATTTAACGTTCACATGGATTGAGGCAGAAGACTTCTTGTCCCCGTCTTTTTTTTTTTTTTTTTTTTTTTTTTAAACAACGGAAGAACGGTTCTTCAAGTGATTCTTTCCGCTCTCCATAGTCTGAAGACTACATTCGACAAAACATTAGCTCTTAATGAACGTGTCTGCATGACACGGTGAATGGTGAGCGGATAATTTTGTATTCAATCCATGGCCTAAAATAGGCACACACGTTATACAATCCGAAAACTTTTTCACTTGATGTTTGTCAAAATTATTCTTGCGACATTTGTTCGCGTGATCCCGTTTTATGACAACTAGTTTTCCGATATATTTTTACTTTCCCTCATTTTGAATGACACGATGATCACTCTCCTTGTTACAAAATTGAGTCATCAAGGAATCAAATACCCTAAATACAATAAATATGAGAGCTGAGGAATAGCAGTTCTCTCAAATTTTTGTTGTTTGCATGCATGACTGCACGATAAGAAGACAATTAGAATAACGTGAGTAATATACATAATATTTCTTGGGTCAACAATAAGGAATAATACAGGTTTACCTCAGTAGGTTGTAACAACATCATATCTGAAGCTAAGTGACATACCAACCAGTAATAATTATATTTCCGATATATAGTGAGCTCGGAAATCCGGCACATTTACTGAAACCACAAGTCTGATCAATATTCAATTTGGATAACTTACCTTATAGATCTTGGGTCAGCAATAATGTAGAAGACAGGTACAACTCTGAAGGTTGTAGCAATATCGTATGAAGAAGTGCACATCAGTCGATGATCATTCCATTCCATATGAAACAATTAGCATTCCAGCACGTTCTTCGACGCCACAAATGCAATATGCAATGGATCCGTTAGGTTTATCAGTTTAGCGGATTAGCACTTTCTTTCCTTATTTCGTCATGCTCCTGACTCATCCAAAATCTTAATTCAATAATTTACGCCACAAATTTGCGTGGCCTATCAAGTTTATACTTAGAGAGAGAACAGCCCACTCGTCTCTTATTCTACTCTTCCCACAAAAACTTTTCTTGAACTCCCGAAAATAATCAAACTCTCCAAAATACTCGTAAAGCTTAAAAGATAAGTTATAAAAGTTGTCTAAGAGTAATTTTCAATGCGTTTCAGTGGCCAAAATTTGAATGTGGATATCTTTTTAGACGCCCGATTAGTTATGACAGGTACAACAAGCGCTAATCATCGTTCATCTCGGCTATTCCTTGCCATCTTTGTCTTATTTCAAGGTGAATGATTACTAGCAGTAATAAAGAGTTAATTTACATAATCAACTCACTTGATAAAACTCAATTTATCCGATAGCATCCCCTACCGACGCAGCACAACAATGTCTCCAGAAACATACCTCCTTTAACTAATTGTAGTTTCCCAATGTTATTTTTTTTATTTTTTTTTTATTTTTTAATTTCAGCCTTTGTTAGTAATGTCGCTGGACTATCTCACTTATTTCCCATCTGTCTCAATAGAAATGGAATTAACGTCGTTGTTGTGAATAAGCTGGTTTCCAAGCATAGTAATGAGTAGATTTACCAGAACAATAAGAGTCCCCTTTTTTGAGTTTTTTATCAAAATCCAACACTAAATATATCACAGGTTGGCACAATTAGCTGAAAAAGTTTGAATGATAGTTTGACCGCGGAGGGCATACCCATATCCATGTGGCGGAAACCGGCGTTTTGCACATCTTAATTTTATTGCATGAACTTGCACTGTTAAAGGATGACAAAGAAAGGACCTTCCATTAAAAAGCTTCAGCTTCATCCTGATTAATTTTGCTTTAAAAATTGGCTTCAGTTGGAATTTATAACGTTTCTTTAATTTTTATGATAATAATCGGTTTTGCCCGACGCCAAAATGTCGATGCCTACTTTATTCGTTGGTTTTGACATGTTCGTTTATGTCTGGATTTGGTCAAATGCAGTCTTCAGACTCTTGCGACCGGAAAGATCCGCTGGAACCGCTCTAAAACGTGTTAAGTCTTGTACATAGCGGCAACCTGGGGCTGATTTTATCTTCCAAACAATAGACAAGAAAAAGCAGACAAAAACTTCAATATGAACTTTAATCTTTCCAAACCAATGACAGAATTTCTGGTATTTTGCTCATGGACATCTGGCTCAGATATAAAGGATTAAGCCACTGCACGCTTCTCTAAAAATAAACAAAAAAAAAATTGAGTGATTGATCCATCGATAGATTGACTGCCTGACGAACTTATTAACTGAGTGGTTGAGGCATGTGAGTGCTCAGCGTCTGACTTTAGTAATACAATGCATCTACTCATGAATATGCCACAAAACAGCTACAAGGTAATTATTTTCCCCTACCAAAGGAAACAATAAAATGAAATGTCTTTCGAAACAACTCAGCGTTAACGTGTGTAAAACACGAGATCGACAAAGACCTAATAACATCTGCATAACAGATGAGAAAGGTCAGGAAAGTGGCTATTGCCTTTGGCGCCACTCGGTCAGGTTGATGAATGAACGGATAATGAATAATACAGTGTTCAACTCGACATCTCACTCGTTCGTTGCGCTCACTCGTGAGCTATTGAGTTAAACACTCGAAGGGAAATTCCATATCTACGCGCGCCCATGTATTATTCTCTATGTAATAAATGTTTCAGAGTGGATTTATCAGTGCCACTTGATTTGCTCCAATAAATTGGTAGCTTTCCCTGCTTAAGTTTTAGAATGAAAAGATGAATCTTAAGATATATTTTGCAGAAATGCGTTCAACAACAATATGCTTATACTGATCAACAACTGCCTAACATTGAGCATCTAAGTTATCCTGACTTTGGATAAAAACAAAGCCTCAGCTCTTCCTCTGGCGATAAAATATCTTCTATCCCACGATTTGACCGAAAAAAGAGGTTTGTTTCTTGTCATAACTGCATATTGTATATTTTTCCCGTAATCGTCCAGCAGCCGTGATTTCCGTCCCACCATCGCTACAATTCAGTAAACCTTTGACATTGATTTCGATTCATTTTAGAAAGAAAGAAAAAAAAGGAAAAACGTAAATTTTAGTGGAATGTACGTTTCATCAGTTCAAGGACCGCCACTTTATACATTTGTCTATCTTTTCATTTTCAGCCATCTTATTCCCTCTTGAACTTCTATCATCAACGTGTGCAGCCCCAATGAATTTCCAAAACTACACTACTGTTCACTTGAAAGGAGTAAAGGAAGTAGAAGTACCAAAACAAGTAACAAATAACAGGACATCAGAGACGTGTAAGTAATAATGAGTCTCTATTTTCTTACGTGTGTTGATACCTCTTATTCATTTTCATTTATTTTTATTATTATCATAATGATTATAGTTATCACTATTATTACTATTATCGTTATTATTTTTACCAGCCAAAAACTGTGCTGAGCTGTACAAATCCGGTCAAAGGATCAGCGGTGTTTACACAATCGAACCAGATGGTTCAGGCGCCTTTAATGTATATTGTGACCATATGACAGCTGGTGGGGGATGGACAGTGATCCAGAAGAGAATGGATGGCTCTGTTGATTTTAACCGCACCTGGGATGACTACAAATATAGCTTCGGTAACTTTAGCGGTGAATTTTGGCTCGGATTGGACAAAATAAACCGCCTGACTCGAAACAAGACAAAGAACAAGCTTCGAGTAGATCTGGGAGTAAAAACTGGCAAAACTGCTCACGCTGAGTATGACTGGTTTGCGATTGGCAACGAAATGGTTAAATACCAGCTGTACATTGGCAATAAGACTAGTTCGTAAAACATTTTTTAATTTTCATTGTTTAGATTTATCTATTATTTTCCTCATCCGTTAAGAATCCCCTCTCCCTCCCTCCCTTCCCTTCCATATTAACATAGGAATAATGGTTTGTTCCTCTAACCGTCTGACTATTTTACTCACGCGAGGTTGAGTCCTAGCTTCTTTGAAAATGTTAGTTTGCTTTGGAGTCTGCAGTTCAATGACAATGCAGTTACTGAACTCAGCTCTAGAAAGATGCCATAGTTTGTTTAACCATCCGACTTGCTGTGACGATAGGTTTTCGCCCCAAGACTGGAGGACTGACTCTTCGCGGACGGAACAATAACAACTGGGGGAACTAACTCTGTAGAAACGACTTGGCAGCGAGAACGGAAACTCGTCACGATTTCCTGGTACACGGAGATCTACTTCGAGCGAGCTTATACGGACGTCAAGGATAAGACAATCTTTGGTTCCACAGTACTTTTATTCTAGGTCAGGCCAACAAGCGACATGACCTCTAGCATACTCTAGTTTGTAATCATCAAAGCTGTACAAGGTACTTGCTTAAGAAGTAACTGGTGCGAAGTGCTATTGTTACACAAATCGCAATATTTGAATAAGGACACAAAGGAGCGGAAAAAAGTCTCTTTGAAGTTAAACGAAAACTACTTAATTATTCCATCTGTTTCTACGACGGAAAGAATCTCAAAATTAAAAAGACGGATGCAATAAACTTTAGGCCATTAAAGTAGGAAACCTAGGTGCGAATTTACAGCTCTGGTATAGAAAACAATACCTATCTTAATTGCAGTAGCGCAGCTCAGGAAATAAAAAAACCAAAAAGCAATTAAAAGTTTCTGCTTATTTATACAAGATTGGTTTGGAAACCATTGCATGAAAAGAAATTAGATTTACGCGTTTAAACTCAGCTGCTATCTACCATGAAAACCAATGTTTCCAGAAAGACCATTAACACTTATATTTACCTAAAAAACCCATGTACTAGATGACAAAAGTGCCGACAAGCAGGTGTTCGATAAAAATCCATTCTAAAAGCCACTGTGGTTTTTGTACATTTTTATTTAACTACCAAAGTTCCGAATGTATTTCAAATGTAAAAGTATATGAATATATTTTTAAGATGTTTACCCCAAAACCCACGAAAACCCTAAGTACAATATTTTTGTGATATGTCAACAATTTACTTTTTCTGGTTATAACTAATTTGAATAATCAATAACATGAATAGAACAACTCGTTCACCATTCTTTACCGCTCAACCGGTCGAGTTACAGAACTGGATCTAAACCGAAAATTTGTCCTAAAATTGAAATACATAATTTTTCCCCCTGACATTGCTCACTTTTAATAAAATCAGGATATTTTACCCACCTCGTCGAATAATAGTTAATCAGTTATCGTCATATGCAATTGAAAGTTCGTGACTTTTATGCTAAGAGAAAACTATTTCGTCGAAGCAGCATGTAGCTACAGTTTAAATTTAGTTTTGTTCTGATTGTTTTTAGTTTGCTTTGTTTTTTTTTGTTTTGTTTTGTCTGTTTGTACGTTTGTTTGTTTTGTCACAGACATCAAGCTTGACGCTTCGAAGGCGTTAGCATGATCCCAATGTTGATTCTTTTCGTTTTTTTTTTTTTTTTTTTTTTTTTTTTTGAAACAGATGAGACTGCGACCTTTGATTCCTTCGGTCCTCACAGGAATCAAGTTTTTGGTACTTGGGATAGATATCCTCATGATTGTGATGAAAAGAGAGGCGGAGGCTGGTGGTATAGTGATAGTAACTGTGCTGTCTGGTCAAATCTCAACGGGCTTTACTTTGATAATAAAACCTCGTGCGCAATCTACTGGAGTAATTTGAGTACCGTTCCAGAGGAAAGCATTCCCAGATCAGCAGAAATGAAAATAAGACCAGTCGACTTCTTTTCTTCTTTTTCTCGGTATACTGACTGAAAAGCCATTTTTCTGTTTTGTTATTGTAGACCATTCATAGGTCAAAAGATATAATAATAAAGATTCATTGGTCTAATTCAACTACCCTACATTCATTAATAAAGAAAGTATGTTTTCAACACAATACTCCTGATTAGTTTTTTCAGGTTTACCTAAGAAAGTAAATATATAACAAGATTGAGTATTAGAAAATGTTCATACTGGCATAAAGTAGAAAAAATATTTACCTCGATGTTGATGAAAATGGTGGATATGTAATTACACTTCGGTGAGTAATCGCTAACTATTGATGTTCAGACTTTAACACGCAAGGCTCCCTTACAAGTGTCATACATTGCCATATTTACTAGAGCGAGCGCTGTCCGATCTCCTCCTTAAAGTTGCCAGGCCTTAGGTATAGGCCACACCTATGATTTTCTATTTGAAAACGCATACCTTTTAGGACACGTCCACCTATTTTTAACACTAAAACATCCAAAACTTCTGTTAGAAATGGAGATTTTGGTCCAAAAGAGGAGCCTAAAGAAAAAGTTATGTCTTTTGGGACGACAATAAACGGAGGCTTTTGAAGAAAAAGATCGCTTTTACTACCACTTTCGAGCGTATTTGTACAGACAATAGACATTAAAAGCAAAAAAAAAAAAACCCAAACACCTAAAATGAGAGGACAACGAATTCATGTGGACAGTTAAACAAAATAATTGAAACGCCTTTGTGTAGGACGAGCTTTCTTACCCTTACGTATAGACGAAAGTAAATACTCATTCAGACGTTACCCTCGGTAGGTCGGGCCCTGAGAGCAGTTATACTCTTAGGCATCTCTAGAATAAGCCCTTCGTCAAAGAATGATGCAGATTCAAGCAAATTCATTTTCCGGGATATCAACGTTTTGAAAGATGCAACCGACCATAGTTCTCTTCTCTCAGGTAATTTCAGACACGGATTACAAAGGGGGTGAACTTAATGGCTCTTAAGCATAAAGCACGCCCCAAGCCCCTGCAAAATATTTCCCCAAAATCAAAGGTCCAACCGAAAGAAAAGCCAATGGAGACGGCTGGGTTTGATCGATCGGTGTCCAAATTACACCTTTACATGTTTGTCAGATCACCCATAAAATGATCGAGTAATTACGGACTCCACCACATGATACTTTTGCACCATAAAATGATACGTTAACCAATCAGCCACAGTGATTGAATTTTGTCTTACACCCAAACTGACTGTGACTGATTGGTTAACGTAAAGGTTGCCATGGTAAACCCAGGAGAGCTTCTCCTGTTGTCGAGGATTTCCAAGCCTACACTGATTTCTCATTTTGATTTTTGCCGATGAAGCTTTTTTAGATATTCGGAAAGGGCAAAGTTATCATTAATCTCTTCATAATTTTAACAGAAACAAAAAAAGAAAAAAAAGTACTCAGTTACCCTTAGTACTCAGTTACCCTTAGTACTCAGTTACCCTTAGTCAGCGCAACCCCCTTAAAATTGTCTTTATTATCACTATTATTATCAATATTATAACTAATTTTCCACACATTGTTCCTTGGATTTAGGAAGCTGCTGATTTAACAAAGAGAACGATGGAAAAAGTTTTAAATTCCTTACTCAAAGCTTGGAAGTTGTTTTCCTTGGTAATGAAAATTGATCTGGATTTTAACGAAACCATAAAATCATTTCATAGTTTGGCAAAATGAAAATTAGAAAAAAAACGGTTCATGTGAAACAGATATGTAAAGAGGCTGGTATGGGATGAAGAAGATTGAAATGAACCGCAATATTTGGTATTCTGCTATTACTCGGGCTTTCCAAAGGAAACGCCCGAGTCGAAACTTCGGCTTGGTTTTTTCTTTTCTTTTTTTTTTTTTTTTTTTTTTTTTTTTTTTTTTTTTCAGAAATATGGCGAAACAAGATAAGATGGTGATAATTCGTTAAACTAATAAACCTAACGGAGCCATTGAATATCACATTTGTTACCTCGATGAACGTGCTGGATTTCTGTGCGTATTATATGAAATATAATGACTATTGATTGATGTGTACCAACTGATACGATATTGCGACAACCTACTGAGTTATACCTTTCAGTATACAGTATTATTGACCCAAAAAAATATAAGGTTTATTATTCACATTGAATATCACATTGTGGCCTCAGGGAACGTGGCAGATTTCCGAGCAGATTATTCGAAATATAATGATTATTAATGATATATACCTTCTGATGGGATACTGCTACAGAGGTATACCATGCAATATCGCTGAGTCAAGAAATATTAGGTAAGCTATCACAATATTCTAATTCCGTCCTTATCAAGCAGTTTTCAATGCAGATAACACCACCACGAATTCCTCGCGAATTGCAGTGATACCTAGCACAATGAACATACAGTGCTCCGTAGAGTCGTCCTGTACTGAGCGGTTATGGTCACCCCTTGATTTATTATCTTTCCCTTACATCGAACCGTTATTTAAAGCGAAACCACTCAATTAAACAAAGACTTACCTTCCAAGTAAATTTTAATCCATTTTTATCTTTAGAAACAATGTTAGTAAGGAAGTAATGTTACGCCAAGGAAGACTTTGATCAAAAAATTAATTTCTGCCTTTAATTAGAATTTCGAAAATAGCTGCATTTTTTTACCGTCTCATACGGCGCCACACACTTCAACTTCAGCATAACGTGTAAAAGAAGCTTCGAGTTTCAAATGGAAATTAAAATAATTTGCCGTAGCGGTTTCGGTTTGCAGACGAAGCAAATTGTGGTGATTTCATGTTGTTGTTTTGCATAGGACGGCTAAGAAATGTACAAAGTTTTTAAAAGCACGTGCTGAGCTATTGCTCTGCCGATTAGATCTTTTGTTTTTCCATGTCCTCGTTGCTGTCGCCGTCGTGGTTTGCTTAAGGTCCCTATTTTACCGAGGACGGCTAAGAAATACACACGGTCTTCAAACGCAGGTACTGAGTTATTGTTCTGCTCATTAAATCTTTTGTTTGCCTCGTCCTCATTGCCGTCGCCGTCGTGGTTTACGAAAGGTCCCTATTTACAGTTGTAGCGAGCTGCTGTAGCGAGGTAAATAATTGATTTATTATAAACTAAAATAGTGAAATAATATACGCGCTTAAGTATGATTTTGACTCATTTAATCTTAAAACAACTATTACATTTTCGGGCGAAAATCCTGCGCGCATTGCTCGGAGGTAAACAGCAAAGCATATTCGGAATTTGTGTAGCCAATCAGACCGCGTCTTAGACGTAATCCGCTGTTTCAGTATATACTATTTATCGTTAAAAAGTTGAGCTCCAGCTTCCCATTGTTACCCTTTGGTTTCAAAAGCTGGCTTTGGTTTTCAATACATAACGTTTCTTTAATTTTTACGGCGATAATCGGTTTTGCCCAACGTCAAAATGTCAGCGTACCATATCCGGTGGTTTCGACATGTTAATTGATAGCTGATGATTGGTCAAATGCAATCATCATACTTTGGATAGTGGAAAAAATCACTTGAATTGCTTTCAAAAGTATTGGCGATTTGAGGCTGTTTTCACTTCCGTTAAAAACACACGCACGTACAAAACATAAAAACAAATCATCTGTTTCCATCAATGTGAACTTTTAATGGCCAAAGACAGAATTTCTGGCTCCGGTTGTTCGAAGGGTGAATAACACTATCCACTGGATAAATCTGTATCCGGTGGATAACACAGTACGTTTTGTTAACACTTAAGCGCTTAATAACGATTTATCCGTTGGATAGCATTATCTGCCCTTTGAACAAAGGGGTCCTGGTATTTTATCAAAGATTATCATTAACATAAAAGGTTGGTCAAGGGTCCAGTAATCCATTCATGGCGTACATTGTATCCAAAATAGCTTTCTGCCGTCCGGAAACTTTCTTCTCCATTCGATTTTCTACAGGAATTTCCGGAAATTTTTTCTATCGATTGGAAGCATTTTGCAATTGATGACACTAAGGGAGATATGTTTTTCGAAGGTAAAGGTGTCTCCGTTTCGTTATCAAATGGCTATGGAAAATCTTTAATATATCAAGCAGCGCCAGTGATCGATCGCCTCGCTTCACTGGAATAAACTGGTCACTATATTTATTGTGCCGCCCGTTAACGCTCTCTTAGAAGACCAGGTGCACTATCTTAATGGACTTGGGCCAAGAGGATTGTCTGCCTTCAACTTTCGGTCTCTTTGCGAACGGTGCGCATGCTGCGAAGCAGTTAAATTAAAGTTAGTTGTTTCTGGCAGCGATTCTTTCACAAATGCAAGAAGAAACCGCGTGTACGTTGAAATCTAGCTTCGGAATCGAACATCGTCCTCTTCTTACTCAAAAATCGCTCATAATCTTTTCCTATATAAGTAAAGCAAAGTAAAAATTTGCACTCGGACGCTGATTTGCAAATTTACTCGAAAAAAATGGAAAATTAATCCACTTCAGTGTTGTTGTTTATCTCGATAACTTTCCACGTTAACACGTGAAAGGGCAGCGCTTGTCAGATAGATAGAAAGATTGATAGACAACTTTATTTCTACACGGTAAAATTCTTCAACACAATCTAGGAGTATAAAATATAAAAATTCTGCTTACTTACTAATGATTAATACAGCATTAAAAGTTTAAAAACCCATTATATCATGAAAGCTGTTTTTCTAAGATACTGTGTCTCATTTAAAAGATATAATGACGTAGTTTTTAATTCGCTTAAAGAAACTGTTGAGCAGAGTTCTTGCGAAAGTCTGTTCCACAGCATGGCACCCCTAAAGGAAAAACTCCTCTTCAAATAGCTGGTTTCGGTGGTAGAATAGCCAACTTGTACGCAGGATTCTTTAGTCAATACGAAGTAATAACATTTCGAGATATAAATCGAGGTTGTAGATATTCAGGGGACAGGTTGCATGTTAGTCGCCAAAATATTTTGATTTTGACAAAACTTTAACACAATCTGTGGTAGGAAACGAGTCGAAAGATTTGGGGTAGAACTGGTAAATACGC